AGCAGGCTGAAAAAGGGATATCCCCAATTTGCATTATTATATTCTTTAACTGATATGTGTTAAACATCTGGTGTCAGTGTGTACTTGCTGTGCTTAGACTGAGCACAATGCTGAGAGGGTTAAATCAACAACTTACATTCTAAGAATAATAACGTGTAGCTTTTAGTGCATTGACTGATTGAAGTAATATTTGAACCATTTTCAGGATACTAAACTATCACTTGAAAGACATGTAGATGTACAGGTATGTTAGAAACTTAAAAAGTTATTTTTCTGAAAACGTTTTCATTTAAAAAATTTAAAAACCTGATCATGCAGCAGGAGCGAATTGATGCTTGATTCATCAAGAATAGAGAGAACATCGATCTATCAAAAATAGGGAACATCATACTACAACAAAAGTCCTTGTGTTTAAGACTGAGCATGAAATTTTTACTTTCTCTGAAAAGATACTAAATTTGAAATACTTGGCTACAACTATTATCGCCTTGTTATGTGCCCTGTCCCTTGGTCTGTTGTAGATAGGTAATCAGATAATTGATTTCCATGCTACTATTAAAAACATTAAATTAAGGAGTCGACCCAATCCTTTTGTCAACGCTGAAATCATTTCTCTAATGAGAACAAGAGATAGCTGGAGAAAGTTTGCTAGAAAAACAAACGACTCCCGGGCACGGGCCGCCTAGAAGAACTTTGAGAAGAAAGTCAAGCGTTAACTAAGGTTTGCAGAACAGGAGTATGTTGTACAGGAAATCTGGAACAATTCTGCTAATATAGGCTGTATTGAGAAAGCAATCACGGCTTGTGTCCCTAAGGAATCAGTCTATCGCAAAACAAGCGGTAAAGACGACAAAGTGGTCGCGGATGAGTTAAACGAAATTTTTACCTTAATCGGCGGAACCGTTGAAAAAATCCAGAGTCTCGCAGATCAATGTAATTACGGTCTCACGAAATCATCCTTTGTCCAAAGGCGTCACCCACTAGCAAAGCAATTCTCATTTGGAACGGTTAAATGTAAAGAAGTTGAAAAGACAACCAATTCCATGCTTATAGGAAAATCTTCCGAGAACGACAAAATAATTGCGCGTTTTGAAGAATTGTTTACTGTCAATTCCTTCAACTTTAACAACTCTTATTAATGGTTCCCTTTCATCTGGTATCTTCCCAAAAATCTGGAAAACAGCAGAGGTAACGCCAGTTTTAAAACATGGCGACCATGAAAAGCCGGATGATAATCGCCTTATATCACTACCGCCTATCTTGTCGAGGGTATGCCAGCGAATTGCCTTAACTCAATTCATGCTATTTAATGTCCAACAAGCGCCTATCGACAATCCAGAGCGGCAATACCACTCGACCGAATTCTCGTTATTGCATACAGCTGGTGCTAATCTAAAGCCAATTGATCAAAAGAAAACCACCGCACTTTTTTTTTTTTGGACCTGAGCAAGGCCTTCGATTGCATCAATCACAACATTTTATTGGATTAACTACACGAGGTCGGTCCTTCCTTCAACTTCAGCTCTTAGATGGTTCACACTAGCCATTTGTCTAAAAGAAGCGCGACTGTTCAAATTGACCCCACACTCTCGGATGCGCTACCGCTGGCCAGCGGAATCCCGCAAGGAATTGAGCGCCTTTATGTGAACGATCTACCGACTGTTCACAAGACCTGTTCATCTGATTTATATGTCGATGATACCAAATTGTACTTTTCGTTTGGTGTACATGCTGTTTCTGCTAAGAATGAAGACCTTTTAAGATTTCGCGACTGTCTTCTTGATAACCGTTTGCTAATAAACCCGGAGGGGACAAAATTAATCCTATACAGAAGCAGAAAAATGACAGAAAGACTTCCACAATTCTACCTGTCTCTTTTAGGGTAAGAACTCGTACTAACTCAATCTGTTCAGTACCTCGGCGTGACCTTCGACCGAATTTGACCTTAAACTGAGATGGTATCACAAGTTAAGTTCATGTTTGGTCGCCCATTATTGACAGAAAAATGAAGATGGTGAAAAACAAAAGAGAAAAAGACTAGAAAACGTTCAACAAATACAGTCATATCGTAAGGGTAGCAAAAATTAATATTAGAGGGTCCATAAATTTTGAACTCGGTAGTGAAAGGGGGAAAGATGTCTTTTCGTCTTGTAATGAACTTTGAGCATAGAGAAATTAACCAGAACTCCTGAGATTCGACGACTCATTGAAATTTCTTTTTTCAACGCACGGAATAAAACGAAAAAAAACATCTTCGTTCAGTTGACCTATTCTATTACCTTACTTAAACCTGCTTTCCATTCTGCAAATGCTCCCGAGTCTTATCAATATAATTTGGATATATCAACAAAGTTGAAATGGTAAATTAGCCACCGTAATGATTACAAAAGCTGACGTTTTGAGCGTTAGCCCTTCGTCGGAGCGAATAGAGGAATTGTGGGTTGTGTGT